ACAACGCCCCAAGAGGCCTCGGCGAGAAGGCCAAAACCATTAACTGTACCAAGATGTTTGCCTCATTTGGCCTCCTGGACGGGGCACCCTAATTAAGGAGCCCCCCCTCCTTTGATCGATCGCTCCAAAGAGGGCCCAAATATTGCCCCCGAGGCTTTGAGATTCCCAGCTGTGCCCCAAAGGTGCCCCAAGAGGTGCCCAGGAGGCCCCAAGAGGCCCCCACGATGCCCCCTAGATGCCCCCAGGCGGTTGATTTGTTTTCTTACCGCTTGCCGCAAGCAGTAACTATGAATATTACTGCCCCCACCCGCCAGAGGCTCCAAGAGGCTCCCCAGAAGCACCCTAGACGCCTCAATGGGCCCCAGGAACGGCCAAGAGACCCCCAAGAGAACTCCACGAAACTTCCGAATGAAATCCGAAGCTATTCCGAGAGGCATTCAAGATGCCTCTGGCCTTTCTGCTCGCCCTCCTCCTCCTCCTTTTCCTCCTCCTTTTCCTCCTCCTCCTCCTCCTCCTCCTCCTCCCTCCTCTTCCTCCCCCATCCTCTCTCTCTCTCTCGCCCGAAACTCCTCCTTCTTCTCCTCTGATTCCTCATCCATCCTCCCCCTCTTGGGGTGCGACGTCTTACCCAGCCCGTTATTCCACTGCATTCTCCTCATCCCTTATCAGGGCAACTCGTCTGAGCATCGTTTCTGGATGGGCTGGTGGGGATAGGCGAAGCATCTAGAATAACAGCGTAACAACTACCCAACAACCAAAACTCCATCCTCGAACCTCGATCTCTACAAGCGCACAGACCGATTCCCTCCAAACGCAACCCTCCACATGTGCGAGGAAGGGGGAGGGAAGACGAGGATAACGACCGGGTGGAGGCGGAGGAGGCGGAGCAAGAGGATGAGAAGGAATGAGGCGAAGCGGAGAGGAGGGGCAGGAGAGATAAGAACAGGTGGACGGCGAGGAGTAAGGGACGCCAGGAGAGAGGAGCCGAAGAGAGGAAGAAACGGACAACGAAAAAAGAAGACAAAAAAAGACAATTCGGATGCACGGCATGGGTACGGAAATACTGCGTGCGCCGAAATGGGGCGGCGGTGCCATGCGGACCCTGCCGCTGTGGCCTTCGGTGGAACTCCCTATGGGGCCACGGACCGTGTGAAGGGTGCGCCGAAATGGGCGGCGGTGCCATGCGGACCCTGCCACTGGGGCCTTCGGTGGAACTCCCTATGGGGCCACGATACGTGGCGTACCAAAACGGGACGGCTGTGCCATGCGGACCTTGCCGCAGGAGCCGACCCGTGTGAGAGGTGCGCCAAAATGGTGCGGGACCGCCGTGCGAACTCGTCCCCTGGGGCCTTCGGTGGAACTCCCTATGGGGCCGCGAACGTTGTGAGTTGTGTGCCAAAATGTAGCGGCGTAGCCATGCAGACCCTGCCTCTGGGGCCTTTGGTGGAACTCCATATGGCCTATGGGGCCACGGACCGTGTGAGGGGTGCGCCCACATGGGGCGGCGGTGCCATGCGGACCCTGCCACTGTGGCCTTCCGTGGATCTCCCCACGGGGTCACGAACCGTGTGAGGGGTGTGCCAAAATGGGGCGGCGGTGCCATGCGAACCCTGCCACTAGAGCCGTCGGCAGAACTCCCTATTGGACCCGCGAACCGTGTGAGGGGTGCGCCCAAATGGGGCGGCAATGCCATGCGGACCCTGCCACTGGCCTTCCGTGGATTCCCCTATGGGGCCACGAATCGTGTGAGGGGTGTGCCAAAATGGGGCGGCGGTGCCATGCTGACCCTGCCACTGGAGCCTTCGGTGGAACTCCCTATGGGACCACGAACCGTGTGATGGGTGCGCCGAAATGGGGCGGCGGTGCCATGCGGACCCTGCCACTGTGGCCTTCGGTGGAGCTCCCTATGGGGCCACGAACCGTGTGAAAGGTGTGCCGAAAAAATGCGGCGGTGCCATGCGGACCTTGCCACTGAGGCCGTCGGTGGAACTCCCTATGCGGTCACGAACCGTGCCAAACGTGTGCCGAAATGGGGCGGCGGTGTCATGCGGACCCTGCCACTGGAGCCTTCGGTGGATCTATGCGGTCACGGACCGTGCGAAGGGTGTGCCGAAATGGGGCGGCGGTGACATGCGGACCCTGTCACTGGGGCAATCGGTGGAACTCCCTACGGGGCCACGAACCGTGTGAGGAGTGTGCCAAAATGGTGCGGCGGTGGCATGCGGACCCTGCCACTGGGGCCTTCGGTGGAACTCCCTATGTGGCCACGGACAGTGTGAGGGGTGTACCGAAACGGGGCGGCGGTGCCATGCGGACCCTGCAACTGGGGTCTTCGGTGGAACTCCCCATGGGGCCGCGAATCGTGCGACAAATGTGCCGAATTGGAGCGGCGGTGCGACGCATACCCTGCAACTGGGGTCTTCGGTGGATCCCCCTATGCGGTCACGAACCGTGTGGGGGGTGTGCCGACATGAGTATACCGATGACGATGACGATGATGATGGCGATGCCGACGTCGATGGTGACGATGACGGTGAGGATGGTGATGGCGATGATGATGCTGATGGGGGGGGAAAGAGGGGGAGGGAGGAGGGGGAGGATACGAGACGCGGGGCGCTGTCTCTTCAAAACAAGGACCTCACACCACAAGATGGCTGGGAACACCGATGCAAACCACACTTGGGGGAACACACTTGGGTCATGCTCGTGGGCCCCGCCCACTCTGTATTGTTGTTTACCAGGGCGTCGGGTGTGCCCTCACATTGTCTGCTTTGCGCAAAGCCACAGCCCTGTCAACACAAACAATCCAGCATGCACTTCGCCCTCTATCCCCTCCCCCTGGTTTGGAGGGGGGGATCGCGAGACGTTAGAGCGTCCAAGATGGCCTCGGTGATGAAACCCAACTCATGGATTGTACGAAGAACTTGGCGGCCACATATAGCACCCGGGGGGGATCCTAATGGGGTAGCTCCCCTCCTTTTGATTGATCTTCTCCAAGATGGCCCCGCAGGCTCCCAAGAGTGCCCCAAAACACCAAAAGACCTCCAGGACACCCCAAATGGCCCCGCACTTGCACCCACAACGCCCCAAGAGGCCTCGGCGAGAAGGCCAAAACCATTAACTGTACCAAGATGTTTGCCTCATTTGGCCTCCTGGACGGGGCACCCTAATTAAGGAGCCCCCCCTCCTTTGATCGATCGCTCCAAAGAGGGCCCAAATATTGCCCCCGAGGCTTTGAGATTCCCAGCTGTGCCCCAAAGGTGCCCCAAGAGGTGCCCAGGAGGCCCCAAGAGGCCCCCACGATGCCCCCTAGATGCCCCCAGGCGGTTTATTTGTTGTCTTACCGCTTGCCGCAAGCAGTAACTATAAATATTACTGCCCCCACAATGCTCCCAAGAGACCCGCCAGAGGCTCCAAGAGGCTCCCCAGAGGCACCCTAGACGCCTCAATGGGCCCCAGGAACGGCCAAGAGACCCCCAAGAGAACTCCACGAAACTTCCGAATGAAATCCGAAGCTATTCCGAGAGGCATTCAAGATGCCTCTGGCCTTTCTGCTCGCCCTCCTCCTCCTCCTCCTCCTCCTTTTCCTACTCCTCCTCCTCCTCCTCCTCCTCCTCCTCCTCCTCCTTCCTCTTCCTCCCCCATCCTCTCTCTCTCTCTCTCGCCCGAAACTCCTCCTTCTTCTCCTCCGATTCCTCATCCATCCTCCCCCTCTTGGGGTGCGACGTCTTACCCAGCCCGTTATTCCACTGCATTCTCCTCATCCCTTATCAGGGCAATTCGTCTGAGCATCGTTTCTGGATGGGCTGGTGGGGATAGGCGAAGCATCTAGAATAACAGCGTAACAACTACCCAACAACCAAAACTCCATCCTCGAACCTCGATCTCTACAAGCGCACAGACCGATTCCCTCCAAACGCAACCCTCCACATGTGCGAGGAAGGGGGAGGGAGGACGAGGATAACGACCGGGTGGAGGCGGAGGAGGCGGAGCAAGAGGATGAGAAGGAATGAGGCGAAGCGGAGAGGAGGGCAGGAGAGATAAGAACAGGTGGACGGCGAGGAGTAAGGGACGCCAGGAGAGAGGAGCCGAAGAGAGGAAGAAACGGACAAAGAAAAAAGAGAACAAAAAAGGACAATTCGGATGCACGGCATGGGTACGGAAATACTGGGTGCGATACCCAACCACAAATCTTGTCCAAAAACGGCAGCGGTCGCTGCTGGGCAGGCGACTTTCTCACATGGAAAACGGCCGCAGCGGCGCCGACAGCGACTCCAATTCAAACTGGAAAGTATGAGTTCTTCGTCTTCGTGTCCGTTCTTTCCATACAGTCGACCCGTATCATAAGGATGCGCAGTATGGATGCACGGGCCTTGGACGCCCATGTTAACGTTTTTCGAAGGGGGCGCGGTTAGCGAAAGTCGCTAAGGATGGGCCGAGGAGGCAAGACTGAAAAAATCCTCAGGACATTTGCCCATACTTACTATGCTCTGGACGCCCGAAATGGGTACGGAACAATGAATACAATGCCCAGCAACAAATGCTGTCCAAAACCGATAGCGGCCGCTGTTGGGCAGGCGGCCTTCAGTATTCAGTGAACAACGTGCGCGGAGGCGCGGACAACGAGTTTGGTGCAAAATGAGCAAGAACTGCTCTTGAGCATCGCACCCATCCTTTCCGTACCCATTTCTAGACGGAGAAAAACACCATGAACATAAACTTGTGGCGCTCCGCGCGGATTTCATGGATATGCGCTGGGCCCCTCCTCCCTGGTGCGCCGCCGCCAGGGGGCCCAGCGCGGATCCAAGAAATCCGCGCGGAGCGCCAACAGTCTACGTTTATGGCGCTGCTCCTTCCTCGAATGCCGCTTGCCCTGGGTCTGTGGGCCGACTGTGCCCACTCCGATCCTCAAGAGGAGAGGCGGCGGCAAGATCCGCGGGGCGCCCAGCGGAGCGGGCGGAGACGGGCCCTGCCCGCGTGGCGGCTGCTGGGCCCGCGGCTTCCGCTCCAGCGCCTCGGGGTTCAGCGGCGTCTTGGCAGGCTGGGCCGCGGGGCCTCGGCCCCTCCAGCCTATGCCCCCCTTCCTCCTCCCGGCCGCCTCCCCTCGTCCCTCCTCCTCCTCCCCCCGCCCTCCTCGCCTCCCCCCCCCGTGTGTCCATCCCCTTCCCCCTGCCCTGCCCCGCTCCACTTCCACATCGCATCCTCGCGCTTCCCCCGCTACCTCCTCCAACTTCCCCCCCCTCCGCTCGCGTGCGGGTGGGGGGCGGTGGCGAGGGGAGGGAGTGGAGGGCAGGGGCGGGGCAGCGCGCTTTGAGGAGGGAGGGGCAGGGAGGGCGGCGGGAAGACTGGGAGGGTGAGGAGGGTGTATGGGAGGGGCGGACAGGAGGGCAGGGACCCTGGAGGGTACTCGGTAAATGGAATGACAAGGAAAAGGAGGAAACGGGAAAAGGGTGAGGCTTCCAGTAGCGTGCGCACAACTGGAATTTCTGTCAGACGCGGCTCAAAATATTTCTAGCCCGCGAGGGGCCCAATCAACGGCCCGAGCGAAGAGACCAGGGGGACAATAATGGCAGACATGGGGCGGAGCCATAAGGGGCTGCGAGAAGGCTGGGTTGTGGGCAAAAGGCCTCTTGGATGCCAGTTGGGGTCTCTGGTGAAGCCTCCTGACAGCCTCGTGGAAACAGTCCTGAAGCCTCTTGGGGGGTATCTTGGGGCCTGTTTTTAGGTCGGGCCTGTCCCCCTGCAGGGGGATTTTGGACGAAAACTAAAAAATACCCCAAAATACCGAAAAGAAGCCCAAACATACTAAACACATAGTCCCCTATTTTCAAATATCCCCCCTGTAGAGGGACAGGCCCGACTTAAGCCTAGTTGGGGTGTTCCTTGGGTTTTTTTGGGTCCTCCTGGGGACTCCTTAGGGACCTGCTCAAGGTCTCCGGAATGCTCGCGGGGCGGAGGCCTCGACATGCCCTCTTGGGCCCGTCCTGGGCGGTCCTCGACGCCCCTTGGGCCGTCTTGGGGCCCTCTAGCGCCGTCCTGGGGCCCTCTTGGGGACCTCACGGGCCGGTTTGGGGCTCTCACGGGAGCATCTTAGCCTTTCTTGGACGTTAGCAGAACCAAAGAACCGACCTTGATAGATATGTGTATGCTTTCTCCGGGAATGGGACAACAATTGCCCCTTCGGGACCTCTTGGGGGTCCTCTGGGAACCGTCATGGGGTGTCTTGGGGGCACCATTGGCCGTCATGGCGCCATCTTGGCTTGCTGGCTTTCAGCGGCATTTACGTTGTTTGGGTATTTTGAATTCCCCCCTAGCCCCATCATCATCATCATCATCATCATCATCATCATCATCATCATCATCATCATCATCATCATCAACATCAGCATCAGCATCATCAACATCAACATCATCAGCAGCAGCATCATCATCATCAGCAGCATCATCGTCATCAACACCATCACCATCACAATCACCATCACCAACACCCATAACCATCACCATCACCATCATCATCATCATCATCGTCATCATCATCAGCATCATCAGCATCATCAGCATCCCCATCATCGTCATCATCATCATCATCATCACCCCCATCATCATCAACATCCTCATCAGCATCATTATCGTCATCATCATCACCATCATCGCCATCGTCATCATCACCACCAACAGCCCTTCGTTGTGTTGTAGTCCTGTTACTGCTGTGACAATGTCAGAGTGAGGGGGCTGCACCGAACGGTCATTCACTGTCCCCGGGTGCGTGGCTGAAGTGGAATTCCACGATGCAAATTCTCGTTGTTGCTGTTGGTTTGTTGTTGTTGGTGTTGGTGTTGTTGCTGTTTGTTGTTTGTTGTTTGTTGTTTATTGCTTGTTGTTGTCGTCGTCCCACCTGCGACCCGCCCCGCGACCCACCCGCGACCCACCCCGCGACCCACCCGCGACCCACCCGCGACCCACCCCGCGACCCACCCGCGACCCAGCCCGCGACCCACCCGCGACCCGCCCGCGACCCACCCGCGACCCACCCCGCGACCCGCCCGCGACCCATCACGCGACCCACTCGCGACCCACCCGCGACCCACCCGCGACACACCGCGACCCACCCGCGACCAACCCCGCGACCCACCAAAAATTTTCGGCGCCTGCAGCGGGTTTCTTTTGCATTCGTTCCAAGTGGAGTACCTGCGACCCACCCGCGACCCAAACCGCGCCCGCGACCCACCCGCGACCCACCGCGACCCACCCGCGACCCACCCCGCGACCAACCCAGAATTTTCGGCGCCTACGGCGGGCTTCTTTTGCATTCGTTCCAGGTGGAGAATCTGCGACCCACCCGCGACCCAAACCGCGTTCAGTGTACAAATCAAAGTTTTCGGCGCCTGCGGCGGGCTGTTTTTGAATTCCTTCCAGGTAGAGGTGGAGAGCCCGCGACGCACCCGCGACCCAAACTACGTTCACTGAACAAGCCAAAACTTCGTCGCCTGCGGCGGGTTTGTTTCGCATCCGTTCCAGGTGGAGAACCTGCGACCCAAACCGCGTTCAGTGTACAAATCACAATTTGCGGCGCCTGCGGCGGGCTGTTTTTTTGAATTCCTTCCAGGTGGAGGTGGAGAGCCAGCGACCCACCCGCGACCCAAACTACGCTTACTGTTCAAGCCAAAAATTCGGCGCCTGCGTCGGTCCGCCGGCTCGACGCCGGCGTTGTCCGCGCCCGCCCCCTCACTCTTATCCGCAATTGCGGGGTGCTACGTATATCCGTCCTGCCCAAACGTCGGCACGTTACACCCGTCCTGTCCTGACGTTGTTGATTGGACCCCCCCCTTCCCTCCTCCCTCCTCCCTCACCCCTCCTCCATGATCTTTCCTCCTGATCCTTGCTGCTCGTCCTCGCATCATCTCATCCTCCATCCTGCCATGTCTCCCTCCTCCTCCTCCCTCCCTCCTCCCTCCGCTTCCCTCCTATTCCCTTCCTGCTCGTCTTCTCGCCATCTCATCCTCCGTCCCTCCATCCCTCCCCCCTCCTCCCTCCCTCCCTCCCTCCTCCCTCCCTCCTCCCTCCCTTCCTCTTCTCTTCTACTTTCAGCCCCCCTCCTCCTCCCTCCCTCCCCTTCCGCGCGCGGGCGCGGCAGGCGCGCGGGCGTCTGCACCTCGAAGATGTTCTCGACGACGACCGGTGACGACGACGACCGACGACGACGACGACGACCGACGACGACCGACGACGACGACCGACGACGACTGACGACGACGACCGACGACGACGACGATGGCGACGACGACCGACCACGACCGACGACGACGACGATCGACGATCGACGATGACGACGGACGACGACGGCAGTGGTAGTGGAGGTTTGCCGAGGCGAGGGCGGCGCGTATGCAGCATAGATAGACACATGACGCATACTGGTGGGTTGACTGGTTGTCACGACCAACGATGCTCGGGGGTCGCGGTAATCAGTCAACCCACCAGTTCCAGTGGCCAGGCGGGGTGGGGCTCTCTCACACGATGCACGATGCACATCTAGTTTACGCCATTGCCGTTTGAAGATGGAACGCGCGGCCCACTGCCTCTCCTCCACCCATTCCCTTGCACTCATTCTTCAAAGCGGGGGGCGGGCGGGGGACAAGGAGGAGCAGTGGCGCGTGCGTTGATACAAAAGCCTGACGCAAAAACAAGAGGAAGCCCCAGGAGGGCACAGGAAACGCCGAGAGGCCCCACGAGGCCCCAAGAAACCACAGGCGGCCGCAGGAGCCTTCAGGAGGCTTCAAAAAAAAGGGCCCCGGAGGAGCATTCCTGGTTGAAGAAATGCATCTCGCGCGTGCACGCTCGAACAAAAAAGTGCGACCAGTGAGATATCCAGCATGAGGTCGTTGGCTTCTTCGCAATGGACACACGTGCGCGGACGGGATATCCAACATGCGCATGGACCCCGCGTGTTTGCCACATTTTTGTGCGTGTGCAGGCCACCCAAAGAAGGGGTATCTAATGGTTTCACCGAACTGGAACCACGTGTTTTGTTTTTCTCCGGATTCAGGCCGCCCTGGGGGAGACTTCGCATCGTTGTCCCAAGCGGGGGGGCCTGTTGTCGCGAGTCCACGCCACAGTGGGGTATCTAACATGGTTGTGCCGATCCTCAAACAAGCGTTTGTAAGTTTCCAGGCCACAGTTGGGGGTATGTCACATGGTTGTCCCAAGCTGGAACCACGCGTTTTTACTTGTCCAAGCCGCCCAAGAGGGGGGCATCATACATGGCGTCGGGCCCATTCGGGCCCAGGAAGCAACGGGAGGCTGCACACAAGGGCCAAGGAGGCCACAGGAAGTTGCGCGAAGGCCAAAAGTAGAAGGCCCCCGAAGAACTCAGGAGACCCCAGGAGGCTAAAAGAGCTACAGGGGAACCCAGTCGGAAGAGGCTACAGGGGAACCCAGTCGGCCAAAAGAGCTCAAACGATGCCCACGAAGAACCAGGAGGCGCCAGGAGGTCCAGGGGCCCAGGATGCGCCAGGTGTTCCTAAGATGTTCCTCTCTTGCGGAGGAGGAGGAGGAGGAGGAGGAGGAGGAGGAGGAGGAGGTCGAACCCTTGATATTGTAGAACTACCCCAGTATGTTGCCCTCCTGGGTCTCGGGCGATCTTTTCTTGTTTCACGAACACATTCCTGCATATTGCCCTTTCCGTGGGGCCCGCAGCGCAAGCCGCTTTACGTACCTTCCCACAGATTGCATCCCTCCTGGGGCTCGAATCTGGCGTTTGTCGTGCTTGATCAATCATCCTATAGATTGGACAAGGGGGGCGGGACGTGCAAAGGCCCATCACGCATGCTTCGCGGAGGATGCGGACAACACACGCAGAAACGAACACATAAACTTGTCGCAAGGCCTCCCTATCCAGCGCGCGGAGCGCGCAAGGGGCGGCGCCGGAGGCGCCGCCAGGTGGCCTCGGAGCAGATCCAAGAATCCGCGAGGAAGTTCGAGGTCGTCTGGCAGTTGTGTTTCTCTTGGCAATTGTGTTTCTCTTTGAGTCCTGACACGCACACCGCGCCCCTGCGGCATGGGCGTGCGGGAGGGAAGGCGTGGAGGAGGGACGGGTGGAAAAGGTGAGGGCAGCAGTGGACGGGGAGGGGCTCCGCCCCGCTGCACTGCGACGGTGCACTTGCGACCCTCCCCTGGTGGGCGAAAAGCAGATCCGTATCCGCGGCCACGCGGGCCTGGTCCCTGGACCGGCGGACAAAGGGCACCTGTTCGCGGATGTTCCGCGCGGAAGATTTCCGTGCGACCGCGGATCCGTGGGATCGCGCCCCAGAGTCCAGACAGCGAGGGCCCGGGTACGGATAATTATTTATTCATACATATATATATATATATATAGATATATGTATGTGTTCTTCGCTCGTGACCCCCCCCTCACACTGGTCGACAACCGGGACTGCGACACCCCCAATCTATGATCCTCAGAACGTGCATTGACGCTAACAGGCGCTTGTTCACCGAAGCCCTTCGGAAAGTTGAACGTCGTGTAAACACACTCTGCGCGCGTCACACCGTCTCGGCACGGTGGTGAATCGCAGGTGCCGCGCGCGAAGGTAAGTGCGGAGTATGCGGCTGATTCAAATTAGATGGGCTGGAGAAACACGTGTCCCTCGTGAGTCGCGGAGACCAAACTCTGCCATAAAGCGCGCAAATTCGCCGGCCCAACGGGCCAGAGGCGTGCTAAGATCTCCGGTAACTGGTTAACAATTTTCTAGTTCGCGCGCGCGGGGCGGCCCCTGGGGGTCCCCGGACGAAAAGTACCCCGACCAGGTCCCGGCCGGGTCCCCCCGAGCGCTCCATGAGCGCACCAACAGGGCTCCGAGACGTCCCCGAGAGCCCCAAGAAAGGCCAAGAGGCCCCCAAGAGGCCCCCAAGATGGTACACGAGGGGTCCGACATGCCACAAGATCGCTCCAAGACGCCCAAGATAGCCCCCAGACGCCCCAAGAGGCCTCCAAGAGCACTCCCAATAGGGCCCCCGGAGGCAAAAATCATTGTTTTTCCATAGGTTTTTGAGAGATTTTGGAGCTTCCACCTTTTCGGCTTCCCGACGCCCCAAGACGGCCCAAGAGGCCCCCAAGATCGCCCCAAGAGGGCCCAAGAGGCACCCAAGAGGGCCCCAAGATGGCCCAAGAGGGCTCGAAGACGGCCCAAGAAGCCTCCAAAACGGTCCAAGAGGGCCCCAAGAACGCCCCCAAAGGGGCCCCAGAGAGGGAACACGAAACAACATTTCGAGCCCTCGGCCCTAAGAAGCCCCTACGAGGCCCCTAAGAGGCCCCAAGAGGCCCCCACGGGGCCCTCAGGAGGCCCCCAAGAGTCCCCCAAGCGGCCCCAGGAGGCCCCCCAAATGCCCCCCCGAGCGCCCCAGGAGTCCCCCAAGCGGCCCCAGGAACCCCCAAAGCGCCGCATTGACACCAGGCCCTCGGGCAAACGGCAGACATGAGACTGTATGGGCCGGCGGAATGAGCGAAGCGATTAAATAACCAACGGAACTGACGGAACCGACGGAACGCTTACGTTACTAATGGGTGAATTCCGTTACTAACGGAAACGTTTCGTTGGTAACGGAAAATTGCGTCGGTTTCTCTGAAAGGCCGGAAACACGATACTATCTTGCTAATCAACCACCCTTGCTGAAGATAAGGGTTACGCCAGTAACGGGAAGTTACGTCGACAAATGTGAACCAGCTGTCGGCGGAGAGGGGCGAAGGGCAGGAGCGGGGAAGAGGAGGCAGGGGGTCAATTTTTGAGAAGTAAGGAGGTGGCGAGAACAAGAGGGCAGGGACGGGGGGAGGAGATGAGGGTCCATTTTGAACAAGGGCAGGGGGCGAGCCGCATCGAAGAGACGACGCCTGCGGGGCCTCGTCGGGCGAAGCTGAGGGGCGATACACACACACACACGCGCACACACACACACACACGCACGCACGCACGCACGCACGCACGCACGCACGCACGCACGCACGCACGCACGCACGCACGCACGCACGCACGCACACACACACACACACACACACACACACACACACACACACACACACACACACACACACACACACACACACACACGCGCGCGCGCGCGCGCGCGCGCCCGGCGTGCCCGCGCGCACGCGCACGCGCACGCGCACGCACACGCGCACGCGCAGGCACACACACACACACACACACACACACACACACACACACACACACACACACACACACACACACACACGCTGGGCCAACACGCGTTCGCAGGCCCATCGACCTGGGCCGGGCGGTGACGAGCGGCGTGCCGGGCAGGCCGGCGGCCGAGGCCCGCGCGCGAGTCCGACGGGGCGGCGGCCGCCTGCTCGGCCCTCGCCTGGCAGCGCCGCCGCCGCCCAGCGTGCTCGTCGCCACCGCGCGCCCCCGTCGGGGTCGCCGCCGCCGCCGCCGTCGCCGTCGTCGGCGAAGGCGTCTGCGGCGGCAACGCCGTGGTGGTCAACGGCGGCGTCGGCGGCGCTGCCAACGTCGGCGCCGTTGTCTTCCGCCTGCCTCGTCCTTCCCCTTCCTCCTCCGTCCCTCCTCCCCCTCCCCCCCAGTCCGTCCTCCTCCTCTTCCTCCTCCTCGATTCACAGATTCCGCCTCATCGTCCCCTCCTCCTCACCCCTTCCTCTAACCACACATCCCCCTTCTCCCGTCTCCTTTTGCATAAAGTTGCAAAGGTTCCTAAGTTCACTGCTGGAGCCAATAAGCCCCTTGGACGATCGTAGGCCTGCAAGCGGTCCCTTTGCTGGCAGTGACGCGCCGAGAAGAATGAACCTGCCACCAAGCTGCAACAACGTCTTGTGAACCCGCCCTCTGCATTTTCGCCCTCCCCTCTGTGGGCGCCTCCCATATGGGCGCAAAGTAGACTGAGTTGGGCCATCGTACCGCCCGCATCGCCGATGTATCGCCGATGTACTGGAGACGGAGCAAATCAGACTCCGGATGGAGCCGCATCGCCGATGCGTCGGAGTGATCCTCCGACCCCACCCCTGCTCTGGCCTCAGCTAGCCTAGAAGACAAGGATCCTGACGGAAACGGATCCTGGCCCAATGGGCTCTCTTCCATAGGAGCCTGTATCGGGAAGGGCGAAAGGGGGGGATAGCAAAGGGGGGGGTGCGAATCAGCTCGCGTAGCTGATTTTCCCGGCGCCGCAGGCGACTGTGTATCGAGGAATGGGCCCCTCGGAGGGGCCGAAACCAGCTGCATGCAGCAAATTTCGTAATCCCCCCTTTCCCAATCCCTCCCTTTCGCCCAAGAGCCTGTAAGACCCGCAGGCCCCGGTCTGGGCGGCCCGGCCCGGACCCCCCGGGCATCCGACACCTTGCGTCTGTCACAAAGGGTGCTCCCAGGAGAGTTGAGCCCCTTCTTGGAACAGGCCTCCTGTCCCCCCGAGTCGTGTCTTGACGCCCCTGGGACCAAGGCTCCTGGAGGCCGAACCCGGCCCAAAACCTTCGGAGGTGAATTCCCCATCTGCGAGGGTGGCATGTGTAGCCCAAGACCCAGATAGCGGAGCACCAAAGGGCCAAAGGGCCCTCCAAAGGCCTCTCGAGGGAGCTCTGGGAGCTTCTGGAAGGAGTTTCCGAAAGAGCTTCGGGTCGGGCGAAAGGGGGGGATAGCAAAGGGGGGGTTTGAGAATCAGCTCACGTAGCTGATTTTCCCGGCGCCTCCCGGCGCAGGAGGGAGCTATGTATCGAGGAATGGCCCCCTCGGTGAGGCCGAAACCACCTGCATGTAGCCAGTTTCGTACCCCCCCGCCTTTCCCAATCCCCCCCGTTAGTCCAGCCCGAGAGCTTCTGGAGAGTTTGCGGGCACACGTGTCAGGACACGCTCAAAGAAGGCCTGCCGGGACCCGCAAGTCGCGCCGAGGAGTTCCTGCGCGAGGGTCGCAGGACGAGGCGTTCGCGCTCTGGCCCCGCTCGGGCGGCCCGAGCTCTGCCCTCCCGCGGCTGGCCGCCCATGGGGTTCCGGGCTCCGGCTGCGAGTCCCGCACTGCGGTGGCCTCTGTAGGGGGCCATCTGCGAACCACACCCCAGCCTCCCCCTCAGGAGTCGTGGGTTCGCATGTGGCCCCCTAGTCTGGGCTCTGTCTTGGAGCCCTCTTGAGAGCATGAGGGGAAGAAAAAACACTACACAAGCATAAACTGTCGACGGTCCGGGCAAGTCTTGGATCTGCGCTGGGCCCCTGTCCCTGTCGCGCGGGACGCGCCAGGGGCGGCGCGGGACGCGCCACCAGGGGACCCCAGCGCAAACCCAAGAAACCCGCTCGGAGCGCAACCAAAAGTATGCTTATAGCGTTTTATCCAGCAAATCTATTTCATGTCATTAAGGTCATGGGCTGGTGTTCTGGTAACCAGTACAGCAGGAAATCGACAGCGAGAAACCTTCCACAAAAAACCCAGCCCTGGGACCCCAGGCCGTCACTTGATTCTTGCTGTGGGAAAGTCACGCTCTCCATGCCAAGACCATCGAAACCCAAAAAATCTAAGGAACCCTGGAGGCAAGCAAAATGTTTCTCGGAATGGGTTCCCACTGTGTTGCTTCGTCCACTTCGGGCCCGCCTCGGGGCCTTCGCGCGATCACCGGAACATTTCGGGGTCACCCGCTGCAAAACAAACATCAGGTTGGGCCACCTTTGGGTTGCCCTGCGGCCAGCTGGAAGCAACGTTGAACTCATGTGCGGCATTCTGGGCCCTCTCGGGGTCGCCCTGCGGACATGGTAGGTTCGTGTCGTGTCGACGCCTCGGCGCGACTCGGGAGGCTGCTTCGCGGGCGCCTGGGGCGTCCGCGGAATATCGGCTTCCTTTCCTCGGATGGCACTGCCGTCGCCGTCTCCGCCACCGCCTGGCTACTTGAGGTCAGGCGGAGTACAGCCCAAAAGTGTGGTGGCGGGGGGCGCTTGAACGCGTTCTGCTTTGTTCCCTTCCCCCTTGCGACGTTTTCCCTATTCTCGTCCTTTTCCTCCTCTTCTTTTTCCTCCTCTTCCTACTCCTCAAGACTCAAGACTCGAAAAGTCAAGACGAGCAGAACACTAAAGCAAGCTAAAGTGGACACAGCTCAAATCCGACCAAAAGAAGAGAGAGAGAGAGAGAGAGAGAGAGAGAGAGAGAGAGAGAGAGAGAGAGAGAGAGAGAGAGAGAGAGAGAGAGAAGGAGAAAAGGGGAACGGAAATGCGGAGGGGTAAACACTCCCTCCATGCCCCTCCCTGCCCGCGCAGCTGGTATCAGCTCGCCGAACGTGGCCACGTTGTAGGGCAGGGGGGAGGAGGGGAGGCGGGACCCTTCTACCCCATCTGATTGCTCCCCAATCCTCTAATCCCCCTCATGACGTGTTGGGTCCCTTTTAAGATCAAAACCCCAGCAACGCTGACTGGACGAGTTGGCACCAACGCCTAGGAGGACCTGGTCTACTCCTAATTTGTAGGGCGAGTACTGTTATAGAAGAGAATGGAAGACCCTTATATAAACTCTTATATAGACCCTTATTCTTACTCGCCCTACGCTGCCTAACTGGGTAGCCCTCAGTCCACGTCAGAGCTGCTGGATACGCCATGGTCCCTCAGCTTGCACTTGAGGTGGCGGACATATTCCTGGACCTTTGACAGGTTGGCTTTCAAAATCTTGACTTGGTCAATCTTGAGCTTGCGCTTGATGGCCCTACCCTTGCCCTTGCTCTTGCTCTTCAAGAGGTGGGCCGGGGGCGGCTCACGCGGGAGCGGTGCTTTCTCGCTCCCACTCCCACTCGAGGCCTTAGGCCTCAGGTACGGCACAGGACCATAGAAGCCGTATTCACCAGGCTTGGTCCCGATCGGTCTCGGCGCAAGGCTGCTGCTGCTGCTGCTGCTGGGCTTAGGCCTGGGCTTGGGTCTGGGCAGCGTGGGCTTGCTCTTCGGCATCTTCTTGGCCACAGGCTCCATTGCCCTCGCTCGCCCTCCAAGCCAAAGTCCCTAGTTTGATAGAAAGGCTACTTATAGACAGTGTTATATGTCTGCGCAGTCACTGCTGGTGCTGCTACGGGGTGGGGGGAGGGCCTCCTCCTCCACCACACGCGCACGCAACAAACAGCACACACACGCACACACACCCCCACGCACGCAGCCTCCTCCTCCCCCAGCCGGCTGCCTTAAGCAGCTTCGAGGTCGCGGAGGCATCCCTTCCCCATAAACCCGCACCGCACGCAGGCATAGGGGCAAGGCAGGAACAGCAGCAGCAACAACAAGAAATAACCCCCCTTCCCCCCTCCCAAAGAAAGTCTGGTCCCCCATAGGGCCTGGCATGGCTGACAGTGCCGTTGCTGCAGACAGTGCTAATGCTGAGACCCTCAATGTCAGCCATCACCATTGGTCCCCAAGGGCATTCCCAGGCGACAGATTCTAGAAGGGGTGGGGCCGCGTCGTCATAAACCATATCACACCAGACGGTATACAACCCCTAAATTGGGCCTACATCTTCAAAATGGAGAGTGGTTGCTGGTACCTGTCCACGGCGGAGCTTGCGTAGCTCCGAGGAGACTTTATTGTCACACGGCTTCATGAGCTTTTTGCCCAACTTTGAGCCAGTTGCAAAGGCCCCGCAACGAACACAAAACAGTATAGGCAAACGGGACCCTACTATCCAACCAACCTGCAATGCATGTTGCAAGGGCCTCGCAGTCTCAAGAGTGTTCCTGAGCGCTACAGGCTGTGCCCTGCAAGGTTTGGTGGATTTGGGCCCTACCGCCGCAAAGCATCGGATACATCTAAAGCTTGCTCCAGTCCAATGGGGCTGGTGATAGTCCACAAAGGGCCTCGGTATTCGAGGTGCCGATACTCTGGTTAAGCTCCCATATAGCTCTTCCCTGTGGGGCCAGAGGTCTAGCATGCGCCCTACTCCTATAAGAAGGTTGGTGTAGAGCTCTACGCTGGCGTCATGCTCTTCTATGATGCCAGGGTCAAGGTCATGGCTGGCTGCCGCCTGGCCTGCATGCCAGTCCGCTGCCTTGTTGCCTTGTATTAGGAACCGCTCCTGATCTGTAGTGGCTTCAGAGGTGCTCCTATGGGCTTTTACCTTTTGGAGCTCTGGCCAATGCTGGGGTTCCACTGTGCGAGCAATGGCCCGCCAGAAGCCAGCAAATTGATTGGTGCCTGTTAGCACTCTGATGGGGTCTTGACCTTTAAAAAGTCCAGAGTAGTCGGCGATAATGGGAGCCGCCCTTGGGTAGTCAGAGAATGCTACTGCTAACCCTAGCCCACCGTGCTCTGCGTGCCCCGAGTTCTGGGGGTAGAAGCCAGGCAGCGGGGTCCGAATTGCTCGAAGGAGGGCCCCCTCCTGGTTAAGCTGTACAGCTGCACAGCCTCCCCTGGCAACCCCAGGTAAAGTTGGGTGGAGTCCACGCCCATCTATAAAGATCGGGAGGTCTCCTGCGAAGTTGCCAGGTGGGCATCTTCCCCTTTCGTTAAAATGAATCACGTCCCAGTCTCCTATGGGACTCTCTAGTTCTTGCCTGGGTGCCCATAGCCTGCTGAAGAAAGGGTCATCAGGCCCCTGGGCCAGGGCATTGGTTTGAAAGTCTTCTAGGTATTCATCCCTAGCTTCTTGAAAGAATGGGCACTCCCATATGCGATGGTATGCCGTGTCCAACTTGTGGCAATATGGGCATAGCCCGTCTGTTACAAATCCCCAGGCTTGAAGCTTGGATCCCGTGGTATAACTGCCACAATACATAGACCTAACCAACTGCACCTGCTTGAACGTGAGCTTCTTCGAAGCTCTCCTAAGTGCAGTTTTAAATCCCTCCGTCCATAGCCCACTTTCGACTATGGGGCTGGTTGGCGGTAACACCCTACCGACATGCTGCTGGACCAACTGTTCCTTTACATCTGCAACGAACTCCTTTGAGACCACTCTGGGAGGTGTCTCTGTTATATTGAACTCTTTGCCCGAGGATGAGGCAAAGTGTGTTGGGCTGAAAATGGCCCACTGTCCTTTCCTAAGCCATAGCAGCATTTGTGAGATAGGGCCGCACACCTTTCCAAGCCATGAAGTGCACCTTGTGTGGGTCAACCTATCCTGAGCAATTAAGAACGCATCCCGCAATTCAAATACTGTCAGTTGGTCATCGTGCCTTTCCAGCTCAGGTCTTGGAGATGTAGCTCGCCACCATTCCTGGCAATAACGCTCTAGGCAAGCTCCTGCAAGAGATAGCGGGTCCTGGAGATCCAGTGTGGCCCACCACAAATCACTCTGTCCTGACCTGAGGTGGAAGGCGGGGGCACCTGCCGAAAGAGATCGCAACCTAGATATTTGTGACGGCGTGAACCCAGAGGTTCCCGCCCCATAATGGATGGTGGACCTTACTCCCGCAAGGTAGAATCGGGACCTCAGGGCCTTGGATTTCTTGCCCCTGATCCCCTTTAGGCGCTTGGCTCTGGCTGTCAAGGCCAGCCACCTACGCCGACAGACTTTTCGGGCCCCCGTATACCTAGCAGTTTTACCTGCAGGGAAGTCGATACCTAAGTTCTCAACTCCCCAGCCTGCAGTACCTGCTAAAGTCCCAAGAGTCTTCTTGGCTCTTTCCACCAGCTCTCCTGAGCTGCCCACAATGCTAATCTTCGGCATCGCCAACTTCAGCTTCAGTTCATGGAGTCGGCTGCGAATATGGAAGGCCAGCTCAATCAACTTCTCTAATACAACATTGATGCTCATGCCAAAGCTCGAGAGCGTGAGATCGTCAATATGCAAGCTAGTGCTCAGCCCTTCTTCTAGCTGTTCTGTCATGACAGGGGGGAGGTAGGTCTTCGCCTCATATGTGGCTGGGGATGCCCCTGCTGTAATCCCCCTCCCTGGGAAAAGCTTAGTAGAATAGCATCCATCCATAAATACTCTTCTTGCCCAGCGATACAAATGCAGAGAGAAAATCATGACGTGCTGGGGATAAGAGAAAGCCAACCCATGCTCATATAGGAAATGGTGATCCACCATCTCGTAGAAGCTCTTAAGGTCCCATAGGAGAGAGAGGTAATGTCCTCCTTGGCCCGCGAGGGCCTCGCTCCTAGCAGATTGCCGCCATACCGTGTCCTCTGGGGAACGGCCCTGGCTGGCACTAAACGGGGCACCAAGGCCGTGCTCCCTTTCCCATTCTTTGCAGTATCGGCTTCCCAACTTGCCATGAACCCTAATGAATGCATACAGATGCCCAATACATCTTCTGCCTCCTCCCTTATGCTTCCTGGCAAGTAATAACTGCAATTCATGCAAGGAGGAAGGTGCTACCCCTAGCATATCCATTAAGACGTACATCTTCCCCAGCGTAATCAGCCCGTCGTCGGAGGCCATACCAATGTGCTTCGGGTGGTAGCCATCTGGCTGACAGGTCCTGGTTTTGAAACCTCGGGCAATCTTCCTGAGCTTAGCAGGTGGGACTTCTGCTGGGACCCAATATCGTGCCCGAAATTGGAGCCATTCGGGGAGTCTCTGGGGTTCTGGAGTGGACTGCCATTTCTCGCCCCAAGATTCAAGTTGTGCTTGGACGAGGTTGGGCAGAGAAGATGAGGGCCCGTGGTCTGTCAGGGTTACTTCTTCGTGTAATTCTTCGGGGCCCTTCAGATGCCTGTAAATCTGGGAACCTCCTCCTTCCGCAGCTTGCTCGCACCAGGCTTCCCAGCTTCCCTTACTAGTCTCCCTATCTGCCCCTTCAAACTTCTGACATGCATTCCGATACCCATAAACAAGTCGCTGTAACTCTTCGATGTCGACAGCCTTGAGTCGCAGTTCCTTGGCCGACTCGCTGAGTGGGGTGTGAAAGATCCCCCCTTCCTTCCAGAACTTGCGAAATTGGCCTCCATGTTCGGGTAGGTCTTCTAACTGCTTCAGCAACTTATCGAGGACTCTACAAATAGGAGTGCCTGCTGGGGCCTCCACCCATGTAACATAATGTGTCCCAAGCTCTTCAAGGCGGTGTACGACCCACCCTAGAGCCCGCTCGGGGCTTACTCTTCCATGCGACTTGCCCATCAAGAGTGCAGAGAGTGGTACTTCTTTGAACTCTGGCGTCGAACCAATCAGAAACCCTTCTGGAACTGTTTGGGTCGCTTCATAGACTTCAGAACGAAGTTTTTCATTCCAAGCCGCGTAGGATTCATCTAGGAGATGAAAGCCGTCCTGGTACATGGCATCTTCAGGAGAAAGGCTCATGTATCCTTCTTTGCCTGATTCCTCAGGATCTAACTTCATGCCTGCCAAAAACTCTTCCAACTTGTCTAAGATCTCATCATAGCTTGGGGGGGGGGCTCGAGGGCCCAATTGCTTCTTCGACTGGGACTTTCTGATGCTTCTTGGCAATTCTGACCCTAATATGATGGGTGTCTTGCCTTAACTGGAGCACCACTGCCTTGTGGGGTTTGCTCGGTAAATCCAAATCTACTTCTACCTTCTCAACTGCATGTGACAGGAGACTGCTAATCAGGAAGTAGTCCAAGATAGACGCATGCTCACCTGAAACGTACGTGTGCATGCTAACATCCGATTCGAACCTCATGTCCAGCTTGTCTACCGCCAAGTAGTCTAAGCTTATCCCGAGTGGGATGTTCCAATCTCCCCCTATAATGCTTGCTTTACCATGCGATAATACATGATCACCTATCTTCCTGATCAATTCCAAGTTGGCCGGGCCTACCCCGCCTCCCGATATGAGGTAGATGCTGTACAAGGAGATGGCCCCATAAACGTGCGTGCGCATGTAGCACTGGGTGGCCCTACCTGCTATCTGGAACTGCCCTGGCCCTTCTTCACTCCATACATCATGGTGCCTTCTGACCAAGATCATCGTTCCTCCAGAAGGATTCTTGTGGGGCCCAGGGACCGCTGGGGTTGCAAACACCTTCCAGCCCTTTTTGCGTAGCGAACTCGCTACACTTAAGATTTTGCTTTCCAAAACTTTGTGTTCCTGGATGAAGATGACATCCGCCTCTATCCCGCTGATAAGAGGCTCCCCTGAATTCCAAGAATTGAGATTCAGGGTCACAAACCTTAGAGGGACATCTTTCTTTTTCGCCCCTCTCTTCTTATTCTCCTTCTTGTGCTTGATCGGGTACTGGTGTGGAGGCCCTCCAGGGTCAGCGCTAGGAGCACGCTGGCTCCGCGTCCCCCTCCTTAGGTGCCCCTTCGGGTCCCAAGCCTCTGGCGGCGTCCAACCTGGTGGCCTCGGGTGGGCCCTTACGGTAGCCCTGCTTATCTTCGGGGTGGTTACCTTGGGCTTTGAGCATCTTCCCGTAGCCCCTGACGTTCTTCAATGCCTCCAGGGATTCTGCATCCTGGTCCCCCCCGATAGCCTTGAAGGACTCTGATTCTTGAAGTTTGGATATAAGCCCACTGAGGTCCAAATCAGAAGGTCTTTTATTAATGCCACCTTTTCCACCTTTCTTCTTCTGACCTTTGCCCACGCTCTTTGCCAGGGGCTTGGGTATGAAGTCTTCGAGATCACGATCGTACCAGCCTGTCTGATCGGATGTGACTGTTTCCCCTTGCTCATCCACTGGCATCGCAAACCCTCCTTGAGGCGGGGTGGGACTTTCCTTCAACCCTTCCTGAATCTGCAGTGTGGCAGCGCCCGCAACTTCGGAACGCCTTCTAGGCGCGATGTTCCAGTTTCTTGGCGTTCCGTTCCGCCTTCTGGGCCTTCGCCTCGACGCGGTCCCATGGTCCGAAAAGTTCCCCCGAACATTGTCGCGGGCCGTTGATGCTTGGCCCTCGCGGAATTCTCGAAAGCCACCAATTTTTTCTAAGCTTTTCCATCGGCCTTCCACTCTCCCGCCAGCTCCGAAGCGCTCGTGACACAATCGCGAGACGCCACCGGCTGGTTTTGGCGGACAATCGAAAGGCCCAGCTCCGGGTGCAGTTTGGGAAGCAATGCGTTCCTCAAGCAACCGTCGACTTTTTCCTCATCCGCTTTCTGCTGGATCGCGATCGTTCGCTGCCACCCCCATCACAACATGTCACAGCATCACAACATGAGACGCACCTCTGTTCGGCAGAATCGTAGCGATCGGCTCAAACAATTCTAAAAACCACACGTGACACATCTGGGCACTCGACAGAAATAACTCATCCCAGCGGTGTAATGCGCATTTAGGAGAAGACAAAAAACTAAAAACAACAAAAACGTGGCAAACAGGACCGCCGGGAGCGACCCTGCGACCGCCTTGGCGCTCCGCGTTCAAGGGCATATTCCTGCGCACCCCCTCTTGGCGTCATGCCGCGCCTGCCACGCCCTGCGACCCTGGCGCGGCTTGAGACTGCGCTCAGAGACCACCCCCTGCGCACCCTCTCCAGGTCGCGAAGGTGACAACACCTGACACGGCCTGCGACCTAGAGTGGATCAAAACCGCGCTCACGGGCCACTCCATGCACGCCCTCGCCGGCACCGGGAAAACGCCGCGCCAGCCTTGCCTTGCGACCCCGGCGTGGACAGAGACCGCACCTTGCCCTGCCATCCACTGCGCACCCCCAACGGTGTCACATCAATCGCATCGTTCGGTCTCCTTTGAATATGTTCCAAGGGGGCAATGCCATAATAAACGATCAGGCTGCGAATCAATTGCAGCCGGGATGAGGGGGGAGGGGGGGTCAGCATTTGTTTCGCATGTTTTGGAATTGGGGCTTGATGCAGCGGACGCTGTCACGTATGGCGACTTGGCGACGCGCAGAGCACCACAACCCACAATGCGGCGCGGACTGCACCGCGCTTGGGCCCGCCGTCCGCTGCGGGGCCGCCGGTGGGGGGCCCGGGCGTCTGAGCTCCCCGCGTTGCGGAAGCCCCTCCCTGTCCCGTCCCTCCTCCTGCCCTCTCCTCGGCCCGTCCCTCCTCCCCCTCCTCCTCCTCCTCCTCCTCCTCCTCCTCCTCCTTCCCTTTTATCGCCCCTTCATGCCCTGGGAAATGCACTAATTCACCCGTTGTCGTACTTGGTGCTCAGCATGCTGCCAGCCGAGCTGCTCACGTCGAGCTTACCAGTCCTTCATCGATTCTTCGGCTCTCTGCTCGAAGCTCCGAGCGTAGCTTTTTGGTCAGCCTGCTGCTCAATTTCCTTGGTTCTCGGCTGCAGCGCGAACGTCGGCGATCACCCGCGCCTGCTGACGCGCGTCAGTGCCCCCGCCTTCCGCGTGTCTCGCCGCTGCAGCGACGTCCGCCGACGCCCGCCGCATCGCGGCCTCGGCAATCGCGCAGTCGGCCTCGGCCTTCCGAATTGCCGCGCGTTTGCGCATTCCTCGCCGAACCTCGCCGCGGCTGCCTGCCGGGGCCTCGCCAAACCCCCTGACGGCGCGCCTCGCATCTTCAGCGATGTTCTTCGGAGGGTCCGGGGCGCGCTTCTCGGTGGCGGCCGAGGCCTCCGCTCTGTTGCCTAGCTCACGCAGTTCACCGCGTGCGCGTTGGGACTTTTTTTTCCACGGCAAACAGGAAAGGGAGAAGAAGGAATCCGCTGCCCTTCAAGAGGGCTATCCTGACAACCGCGCACAAAAAGAAAAACAGCAATAGCCCCGGACTCGGGTGAGACTCGCAAAGCGCTGTCCGGCGGACGTGGCCGAATTGCTGGCCACCAACACGGAGGCATCAGCCTGCTGTCTCTGCTGGGGGGCATCCGCCTGCTGTCTGCGCAGCGCCCGCGGGGGAGCGCGCCGTGGCGGCGCGTGTCCAGCCTCGGCCGCGGGGGCGAGCGGCCGCGCGCCGCCGGACCTCGGCGCGATCGCGAGCTGTTCCCACGCCTGGGCAGGCGCCTCTCGCCATCGCTCGGACGTCCATTCCCTGTGTTTGTTTCGGGTTCGTGCGTGGTTCTTCTTCGCCAAATGATCAAGGATGCTCCTCGATTGTCCTCGCCGAAAGAAAAAGGCACACGTCCGAGCGATGCCAGGGCCAGGTCCCTTTCCCAAATCGCCGCCCATTTTTTCTTCTCCTGCGCCTGCCCCCCTTCCAGGCCCGAGGTGGGAACAGTCGGGCACGGGGACATGAGGCTGCAGAGATGGCAGCTGAGCGAACACTCGCGGCACGCGGGCTTCCTGTCACTGGCCTCGGATACCAAGGCAGCAGCGCTTGGGGAGAGGAGCGCAGCTGGGGCCCAAGTTCACGCCAGGCACCTGAACGCGGAATTCGACGCATGTGAGCGCGCCGTCCGAGCCGATGACGCTAAAGCGCCAGATGGAGTACTGAACGTATTTCCGCGCGTCGTAACCTGCCAAGAAGCGCTCTCGCGAACGAGCGCTGGGAGCGGGTCTCGTCGCTGCACTTTGATTAAGATTCTCCGCGCGCGATACTCCCTGAGGTAAGGCTGGCGGAGGAGGTCACTCAGGGACACAGTCCTCGAAATCATCCGCCGGATGAGGTAGCGGGGCCTTTTGTGAGCTGCCACGCGTCTTGAAGCGCTTCCTCATGGGGAGAGGTGATTGGCAGACTGATGGACTCCCTGGGTTGCTTGGCGGCGGGTTCTTTGGCTCGATGGCAGCTGCTGCAACCGCCAGTGATGGCGACGTGGGGGCCAGGGTTTCCTCGTCCCCGATGACGTCGGCGCTGCGCCCCGCAGTCGCCTATTGGCCAGCGTCTGACCTTCTGGCCATCAACGTGGCCATGCGTTCACGCAGCTCGGGCCAAGAGGCTTCGGTGACACTGCCAACGGAAGTCGCCAGCTAATGGTATCATACCCTGGAACCGTCGCTCGGGTGATGCTCGGTCGCTACATCTTCAATCGCGGAAAATGTCGACTCAAACGGCATCTCTCCGACCGATGAGACGGCGCTAGCGCCGCGGGGGGAATCATATTGATCCCGTAGGCCTGGTTGGCGGACGATGGTAGCAGGGCCTTGGGTAGGGCACTACGGCCGTGCCGTTCCTCGTCTGCCTCCGCGTTGGTGGCGGCGGCCGGCGGGGCGCCCCTGCGGCCGCCTTGCGATGCCGAGGTCTTGCCGAGGACGCGAGCCAGCACGGCTGACGCAGCCAGCGGGAACAGTCTCGGTGATTATCTGCTCGGTTCCTCTTGAGCCATGAAGAAGAGCTTTGGGATTCGTTTCAAACAGATCGTTTTGCATAGCGTTGACTTCCGAACGGAGTACGTTGTTGTGTTTATATGTTGTACATTCACCCCCCATACGGGTGACACAATGATGTGATATCGTGGTGAAAGGTTCGGCTAGAATTGCCCAGTTATTCCATTGAGCCCATATTGATTGGCACATGTAATTGGTTACTTCTGGATCTTCAAATCGTGGTCCCAGGTTGAACCTCGTAGAGTATGTACTGGATGCCATGGCTATCGAGAAGATCGTCTAGTAATCGGATCTTCGGCAACACTGAAAGATGTAAGCCGGCCGAAGGGGGGGAGGCTGGCCGCGCACGCAGGCTGCTTTACCTTGCGCGTTGCACAAAAGAGCTTCAGCATGAAACAGCCCGTCGCTGTCGGCAACGCCGAGCATATCTATGGCACATGCGGCGGTGGCCGCGAAAAGAAGCGAAGGAGCTTTGGATAATGATTTTTGCTAGTGAACGTTGGATAATGAACTTGCTGTGTCACCTCAATGTGCACACACGCGTTGCATATTTCTGCATCGCAATACTTCGCCGCTCTTTGAAATGATCGACTCCTCACAGAGCTGCTTCGGAGAAAAAACAATTCCCACATCGGTGCCTCGCCATATTTGCTTTCGCGACACTTGGAGGTCTGACAGGTTGCCCCTAGAGTATCACCCCTCCAGAAACAAGTCCTGGAAAATCGTCCCAAGAGCGAGTAAGCCAGATTCAAGGGCCATTGCGCTGGATCATCCCAATAGAAAGCCTTACAGTAAACTGCTTTGACCGGGACCCACCCGGATTAGGCCAGTCTTCGACCACGGATCTACCATCGACGACGCTGAATTTTAACCTCCCAGGAACTGCATCCTTCCCCCCCTCTGGGCATCTCCGCGACGCCGCCTGGCGGCTGAGAGGTGCCCTGAGGGTGCCAGCCAGCGCCGACCGCAGCTCCTGCATGCGGGCACGGCTCGGTATTCGTCGCCGCCAGCAATGCCGCCGCCACTGCCGCCGCCGCCGAATTTGCTGTCGCTGCTGCTTTCGTCGTCGTCGCCGTTAACGCCACCAGAGTCCTCGTGGCCGTCGCCGTCATTGCCGCCGCCGCAGTCGTCTTCGCCTCCGTCGTGGGCGTAGTCTGTGGAAGGGTGAAGAAGCAGGACGAGGGACGAGGAACGAGAGGCGATGAGGTTGTCTGGCAGCTTGGAAAGATCGGGGTGGATCTGGGAAGGACGGAAGGAGGGAGGCACGTTTGGGGCAGCTTCAGCCCTAGAGCCGAAGTCCCCCCAATGAATTAGATGGCCCTGGCTCGCCGATGAAGGAAGCCTGGTTCTTCAATTAGGACAAGGATTTTGATCAGGTGAGGGGAAACGGGGTCACCGTTCCAAAATCACGCGCGCCTTAGGAAGAACGGAGGGTAAACACACAGAGGCCCGAGAACTGAGGCATGTCGAGGGCATGCACGCTGAATGCTCTCCGGTGGCAGCTACCCGTCGTGGCCAGACCTCCCACGACACCTCCTCCTATTCCTTCCCCTCCCCAGACCCCCCTGCGACGCGAGGAGGTTCGCTTCAGACGAAGCAGACGAAGCAGCCAAACAAAATCAAACCAATCAACGAATGAAGAAGACCAGAGAGAGCAACCTGACCAACCGAACCAGACCGAAACTAGATGACAAGTCTTCAGACAAGCGAGACCGATTAGACGAAGGGGAACAACCATCAAGCAGGCGGGCACTACCAATCCGCCGACCCCTTGGGGTCATCGGCATGTGAGATGCTCCCCCCTCCCCAAACCCCTCCCCCCGGGCCCCGGTCCGGTTGGTTTGGTGGGGGAAGGGGGGGTGGTCTGGCCGGCCCCGGCTGAACGCGCCACGGGCCTCACGACGGGCCATGAGGGCCCCAAGAGACCCACAAGATGGTCCAAGAGGGCCCCGAGTCGCCGTTGGATCGTTCAAGACGCCCACGATGGCCCCCAGACGGCCCAAGAGGCCCCCGAGACGCCCCAAGAGGCCCCCAAGAGGCGCCCCAGGGGGGACCCCAACAGCAAAAATCGCCCCATTGCCATCGGGAAGCGTATGACTTTCTCACATTCGCCCAGTGGGCTTTCACAACGTCCAGGACGGCCCACGAGGCCTCCAAGATCGCCCCAAGACGGCCCCGCAAGCCCCCATAGAAGTCTCCAAGACGGCCCAGCAAGGGCCCCAAGACGGCCCAAGCCCCAAGACGGCTCCAGGAGGGAGCTCAGGCGGGGGACCCGAACGAAAACTTCGAGCCGTCGGCCCCAGGAAGCCTCCTGGAGGCCCCAAGAGGCCCCCCAAGAAGCTCCCAAGAGGCCCCCAAGAAGCTCCCAAGAGGCTCCAAGAGGCCCACCAGAGGCCCACAAGAGGCCCAAAGGAGGCCCCAAAACGGCCTCCAAAAGGCGTCAAAAGTGATGCCGGGAGGCCCCCGAGAGACCACCAGGAGACCCCAAAGGGTCGGCGGTGCGGCGTAAACCCAAGAATCATAACACCAGAACAACGCGAAGAGCATGCACATGACATGTAACAGAGCAGTCAACCACATCCGCGGTAACCGTGGTTTGAGCTGACACGAGCAGGAAATATAATGCGTGAAGGAGAGGAGGCGGAGAAAGGGGATTAGGAGGGAATGACTCCCCTTCCCTAGCCTCGCAAACCTATCCCGAACCTCAGAAACCTGTCAAAATCGTTCCCCGAGACTCCAAGCCTCCACGAATCACGAAAACAAATGCAAGCTCCAAGCATCCTCCTTCCCTTCTCCCTAGACATCCAACGTAGCGATACTTCTGACATGGGGTCGGGGCGTTGACCTAAGGAACCCTAAATAAGGAACGAGGCCCCTTTTTCCCACATTGAACTTCGATTTCGTATCGAAAACATAAGGAAAACCTGAGGCAAGCTGCGAAACACTTAAGGAACACGGAGCCCCGCCCCAACGAAAAGGGTTCCTTCTTCAGGGCCCCGACTGTGGGGCCTCGGGAGCTTTCGATGCCTTCACCAGGGCCGATGCTCCGCCCCGATCGTCCCTGACGGCCCCCCTCGGCCCGAAACGGGACTCCAAATGCCGAGATTTCGATGCCCACCACCGTGCCGTACAGTCGGGGCCTTGACCTAAGGAACCCTAATTCAACTTCGATTCCCCATGGAAAACCTAAGGACAACCCAAGGCAAACTGTAAAACAATCAAGGAACACCGAGCCCCTCCCCAACGAAAAGGGTTCCTTCTCCAGCGCCCCGACTGTAAGCACTGAGTCGCGTGTCCTCAGGTTCCTCAGAACCTCCTTGCATCGAATGGCCGACTGCTGCGAATGCTCCTTGAGAGGAATCCTGGCCCTCAACTGCCCGATCTCAGCTGCCGGGACTTCTCCCGTGACTCTGCCCGGAGGCCAACGAGCCCCAGGAGGGCCCCGGAGGGTCCAGAGAGGGCCCTCAGAACGGTCCGAGAGAGCCCCGAGACGGCCTCAACACGGCCCAAGAGGTCCCCGAGACGCCCCACCAAGAGGGCCCCAAGAAAATCTCCAGAAGAGGCCCTCCAAAGGCCAAACAATGTATGATCCTGATCATCTGACAGTTTTTAGCGGTTCCGCGTTTTTTGAGGGCAACCAACAAGACGACCCAAGAGGCCCCCAACAGGGCCTCAAGAGAACGCGAAGTGCCATTCGGAATATGTCCCTCGCGTTTGGATCCCCAAAACCACCCATAATGCGCTCGAGAGCCGCCAGAAACTCTCCGAAGAGGCCCCTCAAGAGGCCTCCCAGAGATGGCCGAGAGACATCCTAACAGACCCCGGCAAGCATCCCAGAGGCCTGTGGCCAACAACCCGAGCACTGTGGCGGGACAGGCCGGAGACCACCAGATCCGCCGCCCCCCTTGATTTATCACAGGGGTGCCCGGCGTGCTGAACTTCAGATGGTTTGCGCTTCTTTTAGGACACCCCTTGGGGCTTCGTCCCCGCTCGTCGGCCACCAGGCAGGCCGCGCAAACCGCCGACATAAACTGCCCAAACACTTCCAAGACGGCCAAGATGGCCTACCAGTTCGTCCAAGATGGTAACTAAGACGGCCTAAGAGTGTCCAAGATACCTCCAACTTATCACAAGAAGCCACAAAGGCAGCCCAAGAAATTTCAAGATGGTCGGAGACGGCCCCAGAGGCCCCCAAGAGGCCTCCAAGATGCCTCCAAGACAGCTCAAGAGGCCCCCGAAAGAGCCACCAGGAAGGCGTGCAGAGGCGCCTCTCGCTGATGTTCCTTAGATGTTCGAAAGGTGTTGGCGTTTGTTTCATGGCGGCCTTCCAACGGCCCGAGACGGCCCAAGAGGCCCACCTACATCGCATGAAGATCGCCCAAGAGGCGTCCAGGTTGGCCCCAGCACGGCCCAAGAGGCCCCCAAAACGGTCCCAAGAGGTCCCCAAGCCAGCCCAAAAGGCCAAGACGCCCGAAATGGCCTCCGAGACAGCCGTGAAACATGCCACAAGGGCCCCAAGTCGATCCAGAGAGGCCCAAAAGACGGTTTCCTGCGGCGTCAGACTGGCCAGGAACGCCTCAAGACGACCCAAGGCCCTCCAAAAGCCCCCAAAGGCCACCAAGAGGCCCAAGGAGGTTCCCAAAAGAGGCCTCAAAGAGGCGACCAGGAAGCTCCCAGAAGGCGCCAAGAGTGGCCCCAGTGTCTACCAGAATGCCTCCCCCCTTCCTCCTCCTCCTCCTCCTCCTCCTTTTCCTCTGATCTTTCCCGCCATCCTCTCCCAAGTGCTCCCCGAAGGGATTCCGCAACGGCTGGGGGAACACATGGTTACGATAGCTTGGCGGAGTTCTGGCCATAGCGTTCGGCCACATGGGCGATTCCAAAAGGCAGAGTGCGATTGTGATTCGCTGTAGGCGTCTTCGATCCGCCGCCCCCTGTGGCTTGCCACATGGGTGCCCGGCGTTCCAGACATCTAGTTGTTTGCTTTGTCTCTAAAGGTGTGTTGGCCCAGTCCGCTGGCCACCCGAAGAGCTGACGCGTTTCGGTCCGTTTTGGTCCCATCGGCTCCGAGACGGCCTAAATGGCCTCCGAGATCGTCCAAGACGCCGCAAAAATGGCCAGGACGACACCGAGAGAGCCCAAGATGGCCGAAATGTTGTTACAAAATGGCCCAAGATGCACTCAAGACGGCTTAAGATGGGCCAAGACGGCCCAACAAGTTCCCAAAGAACCTTCATGAAGGCCCAAGAGGCATCCAAGAGGACCCACAATAATGACCGAAGAGGTCAAAATCATAGATGTTTTTTGGCGTTTCCGCCTTGTCGCCTTCCCGACGGACCAAGACGGCGGAGAAGAGCGCTCAGCCTGAACACTCTTCTCGGTCCCCCACCCCGGACCCCGCTGCCATTTGAGGCGCCGGCACGTGCTTTTGGAGGATGGCCGACGCCGAATCTCCAGGGTCGGCCCCCCCCCGAGAAATAGCTTTCAGCTTGAGCACTCCTAGCAGCGGGGGGTCCTCGGCCCCGGAGCGTCTGCGGCGTCGTCGCCGTCGTTGTCGCCGTCGTCGTCCCTCCCAGAACATCTGCGGGCGCCTCTTCTGGCAACGACCAGTCGCCCCACCGCGGCTCAAAAATCCAAAAGGTCTTACTCCCTCTCCCCGTGCTCCCTATTCCTCTTCCAACGTCCTCTCCTTCCCTCTCTCCCCTTCGACTCCTACACTCACTTCCCTCACATCGATCCGTCAATTCCCTCCAGCGGTGTACTTCCCCCGTTTCCCCCAATCATTTATTTTGCTTCAGTTGTTCTCCAAATCGCTTCAATCGTATGTGCTGGCTGGGGCCCTGGTGTGACAGAAGGCAGTTCCAGCTGGAGGACCATGAGCGCGGATGCATCCTCAAACTCGGAGGTAGTCATCCTCGCAACTCTGGGCTCTGAGACGCCACGCGAGATGTGGCTTGAGACATCCTCAACATTCCC